TGCCCATTATGGTCATGGTCCTGGACAAAAGAGGGCAAAAGACAATCTTGTTAGGGGAAAAAAAACAACCAACCAAACATCACTAATTCAAACAGTAACAAAACCAACACTTAACAGGCAAGATGGGGCAGTGAGAAGCACCATCACATCAAAAACCACCTCCCCCCACCCCTCCCTTCTTCCCGGGCTCAGCTCTGCTCTTCATCTCTCTCCCTCCTCCCCCAGCAGCACAGGGGGCAGGGGATGGGGGTTGCAGTCAGCTCTCTGCTTCTTCCTTCTCAGGAGATGGAGTGAACACCGCACATTCCTCCCCTGCTTCACATGGTTCCCCTCTTACTGGAGACAGTCCTCCATGAACCTTCTCCATATCATCGCCTTCTGCATGTCTAAGTTGCACTTATCCAGAGACACCTGCTGATGGTGATCTTGCTCAGTCCTCTCCTAACAAACTCATACAACTACAACATCAGGCAATGCTTTCCCAGTTTTCTCTGAGTGAGTTCTATACCCTGTGAGGAGAGTTGATGCTACAGAGACAGTAACATTTTCTGAAAAGTTGAAGAGACTTCATAGCTCAGTCTTCTACCAGGAAACTCTGTCCATCTCATGGGAACATACAGAATAGCAATCTGTGCCCAGATGATGCCAATTTGTGCTGGTTTTCTATCCAGTGAAGATGTACTCAAAGAGATCACAAGTATTACTAATTACTGTATACATAAACCTCTGAATTTCTGTAGTTGGACTCCAAAACATTCAGCTCGCTCAATCGGGAGCTTCTAAATAACCTCCACAACCATGTGAGAATTAATGATCTCAGTTATAATTAAGAAGCCATTTGTCACCACTTTTTAACTATTTCACATATGGAACTTAATACTTCCTTTGTGAACAACATTTATTTGACAGCCTGACTTTAAGCCTTTTCATCCAATTATTGCCTGACCACATTTAAGGCACTTCCCTTCACGTGTAATGAAAGGATATGAAAACCACCAACCTACGAGAACCAGAGATACACCTCTATTTCCGCATGAAATAACATATTCTGTCTCCCTCTGCCGGTTCTGCATTAAATCAAACCAGGAGGAGAAAAAGAAAAAGTAGAAAGCTAATGTTTATTGTTATCTTAGAGAATTCTATACAAGAGCCAATGCTGAAATAGCAGAAGAATAATACTTCAATTGTAGTTTCTTAAACAAGAAATACAACAGAGAATACTAAGAGTCTTTCTGAACACATCATGAGATCCAGTTATTATAGACACATAGCACCATATCTACATAGGACCAAATTAATGATCGCTTCGTGAAATTTTCTACTAAAATTATTTCTCCATTAAAAGCACAAGAGAATATTAATTAACTTTCTGCTAATATAACTTAATCTTATTTTATACTGAAACAGATTTAAGCATTCCTGCTTGCTTCCAGCCAGACTGAGTTACAACTGAGCTGGATAATTTTACTTATAAATCATTTACAGGTAATATATGCATTTGATTTTTTTTTTATTAAAATTACAGGCAATCAAAATTTGTGACTCAAAGAACTTCTGGTTTGCAATTTAAGCAGTCAAAATATATTTAGTAATACCAGCAAGCTGTCACTGTATAAAATACAGGAAGAGATAAAAGAATGAGATATATTTTGCATATTCTTTAGATGATAGCCACAAAACCTCGATTTATTTTTTACTGAATTCTGCTTTTCTCAAATTATATCATTAAGCGCATAAAGCAGTCTGCTTTCTAAAATGGATTTGAAATAGTTCACAATGCTACAGAACAAACTTGTATCTTGTTACTCCAAATCAAAATCACAAGAGTAAGAGAAATGTGTGCCTAGAGCCATGTTTGCCATCAGGCCATCCCTGATTTCTTTCTTTCTGCTTTTCTTTACTGGAGTATTTTATTTAAATTTGGGTTAAAAAGTGTTATTAAAATGAAACCGGTCAGTCATATATCTTACAAACTAGAAGTACAGCACCATGTACTGCTTTTAGCACGTATCCAACAGAACAATTCATCCTCCCTCAACAGTGCCACAGTCATTCATACTTCTGACCAAAATGCATTTCACTCTGCAGTGAATTTTGTTTTCTACAGTAACATCCCTTACCTACCAGTGAGAAGGGTCAACAGCATAATGAGAAACACAGTAAGCTATGAGGTCATCCCTGGTGACTGTTTTGTTTTATTCCTCCACGTTTACCCTCTCCACCCCGGAGTTCAAACGCAGCAGGCGCTGTGCTGGGCACTGGTGGTCCTGAAGCACAGGCAAGCCAGGCACAGGCTTCCAAAACTGCCAGAGGGTCCAGCCTCTTTGCTCTGAGCAGAGACCAGGGGCCAGCACAGGCCAAAAATCAGAGGATGGCTCCCTCTGTGGTCTGCAAAACTGGCACACACTGAGCTTTCAGATACTGAACATACATGGTTTCAAGCATACAGTTTCTTAAAGAGAACCTGTTTTTTCCTCCACAGAAGCATACTAAAGCACAATAGACATTTAATCAGAAAACAAAGGATCAAATTTATTGGCCCTGTAATTTGCTAACGAACTCCAAGAAATTTTAATTTACCACTAAAAAACATACTTGAAAAGTACTTGAACATTTTTTCCATACTTACTTTCTAAAGATTTTATTACTACAGGGCATCATAATGTTCATGCTGTACATGAAAGAACAGTATAAAGCTTTATGGCACATAACATTATATTACAAGTATATACTTTAATCAGAAAAAAAGTGGAACAAGAAAAACACAAATTAATAATAATTTTTTGAATATTTTAAAATGAGAGGGTAGTCTACAGAAAATCTAGTTATCAAGGGCTTTAGTGAGCAGAAAAATTCTCTTACATTTTGGGGTTGAAGGGAATGTGTCCATTTTTTAATGTTCCATCACATTAACTGTGCGGTTTTTTAAAGTTAAGAGGAGAAAACAGATCTTTCCAGTGTTAGCATAACAGTTTTGTTGAGACTTTTAGAACTAAATACTCTGCAGCTGCACTTCTCATGCTACTCTAAGCAATCACCTTCTCCTGTGCACCCACTTCTACCACCCTCTGCAGAAACTGGAAATAGGGAACTGTTATAGAAAGGAAAAAAATAATTATCTTACCAGATGACCTCTCCAATTTGATTCGTTATATCCCACACAGGGGTTCCTACTACTACAAAGGAAACAGTAGAAAGGCAAGAATAAATGGTTGGAGGGAAGAAGACCCATTGCGCTTGCCTTCGGACAGCTGGTGATCAAATAGTGCTTCAAAGGCACGATTACCAGGAAATTGAAAGTTGCACATTCTACAACAAAAGTTTATTCCTGCATTCTCTCTGTAGTGCTAGTACATTTATACCGAGCAATAAAAACACTGTCTCAATTTATTCCAAAGCAATCGAAATTATCAGGAGCCACTCAACAAATCCCAGTGGCCTTGGATTAGATCTTAAAGAAAGAACTAACTAAGTTTTTGGCACTCGAATACATAACTCTGGATTTTCAGAATATAAGCTGAAAATTAACACTAGGTATACATGCTATATTAATAATAAAAAAATCTCACTTAAAGGGATGTAATATACAAACCTACACATAATCTTCAAAAACCTGCATGCACATGCATGGATATTAGCTTAAGTTTCAAAGTAATGCAGTTTATTGCCTATCTCAGTTGTTACTAGCACTTTCTAAACATAATGCCCCATTAATTTAATTGTAAAATGGCACCTGAAATTTGTAAAAACATATGCACATTTAGGATGAAATCCCATATCCCTTTCAGTCAATAGGTTTTTACCTAACAGATTGAAGTCAGGACACTCAGACCTTCAGAATTTATAGTCAAATCCTTTAAATACCTGAACACATGCAAGATTCAAGTAGTCTCATTTAAAAGGAGACTACAGTATATGCTTAAGTGTTAATGGCACTGAGGACTCAGTTATCAAGCGGGTGTTGAGAAAGAGTAGGTGAGAAGAAATATGCCTATGCAGCCAAGAACTTTCCTGCTAGTTTTAAGTAAAACAAAGGAACACTTTTAAATACTTAAAGTTTCACAGTCGTAGACAAACCCTTAACTAGGCTACATTAGCATACATGCCACTACAGTAAGATTCTTTTAATAAAATTTTTACATGCACCTCAAAGCTCCTACAGGCATTTTTGTGAAAAGACCATGCTTTATTTACTGTACCTGAACATTTCTGTACCTGTCACGCTGCATGTTAATGAAAAAATAAGACAGGGAACATTAGGTTATTTTCACATGTCCTTCCTAAAGGTATAATTTCTATTAATTTTTACATATGACATTACATAAAGTTTCACTTTAGCAGAACTAACAAAACACTTAAGCCTATCTTTAAATGACAACTTTGCCAAGTTAAATAAAAAGGTTTCACTGTGCTGGAAGAAGAGGCTAAACAATTCAAGAGCAACATTTCTCCTCTTTCCCACACACCCTCTCTGAAACACCAAAAACACAGGTGCTGATAAAGAGGTTTGAGGGGAGTAGGTTTGTTTTTACTAATACTCCTCATCTTGAATCAACTCCATACAAAGGAGTTATGCACTGCTAATGATGCTCTGGGAAGACAACTGCATATGCTGTCTACAGCTTCCAGTGAGAAGAATTTCCACTTCTAGCATCTCCCTTACAACCATATGAAAGCACAGAGTTAAACACAGCAGGCACACCAAAAAATTCAACTTGGGCTTTCTGTGAATTAAAGCTGAAAAAGCCTGGCAGACAACCTACCATAAGGGTGCCACACCAGCACACAAAGCTGAGGCTACGGCAGCATACCTCCCTGAGCTAGCTGAACTTTCCCTGTTCCCAGGTGCCACTAACATCACTGGAAGATGGTCATATCTAAGGAATAGCATAGCCTGGCCACTTGACTTTAAATCAGGTGCGAGGGCTTAACTGAAATACTGCCCACATTAATGAAATAAACTACTTGCAGTAGTACACACGTACACAGAAAGTACTTACGTCGTTTCTGGGAAACTGCCTGTAAACAAGCGGTGACAATATCGCAGTTCTTCTGGACTTTATGTACAAGTCTGTCTTTCTGCTTCAAGAGTCGAAGCAACTTTGCTGACTGAACAGAAATTCTGTAATTCAGTTCTCGTTTTATAGCTGTTAATTCATCGACATCTGCCAATAAGCGGACAAAAATAACTTCAGTACAGGCCAAAAGATTCACAAACAGCTTACTGTAGTTGACATCCAAAGGAACTTGCCCCGTGGACATTTCCATACACAAATGTTCTATAAATTACAAGTTCTACTGACTGGGATAATTCGCAATTATAAACATTTTCAGGATCTGAACGAAAGTCTTTAATTTTCTTTTAAACTAAAGTACTTCAACTTACTGCACAGTGTATAATTTTACTGTTATAAATTGGAAACATTGTGACAGATGTAGCCAGAATATACCTATAGGAGTACAACCAGGGGGTAGATTTTAAATACAGTACCATCCAGAAGCTGCCTGTGGAAAACGTGCATGGGGAATAAGCAAATGGTAACAGGCAAAAGAACATGTTCAAGAAGCTGCCTGCTAAGTTAGAAATGCAACTCCAGAATGAGCTTTAAGTGGGAAACTCTTTCCACTAAGATGCAAACTAGGTGGCTTCAGTCAATGGCCTCAGCTATTTCCACTGGCCAGTCACAGTGCCACCAGACCCCCTTAGTTCACCAAAATGTCTCAGCTTATTTCTAATATTTCTGTTGTCCCCTATGTGGTGAGCTTCAGGACCAGGAGAAAAGGGAGTTGTTGGAGAGATGACTTAAGTCAATTAAATGTTTTAAGTCCTCTGCTCTGTTGTTAGAGGCACACCCCACCAGCGAAAGCTTGAGTCTTGCCTATCACATGCTGCCCTCATCAGCTCTTCCCTGCAATAGCCGGGTATGGCTGGCCACCAGCATCTAAACAGCTGTCTGTTCCCTGTGGCTGTTTTCAAATCCTATCACTTTCTATCCAACCACCCCTCCCACCCCCTCCCGATGCTGGAAAACAAGTCAATTCAAAAAAACCCCATACTTTGGTAAGCTGATCCAATGAGAAAAACATTTCTCTATCCAGGAAAAGCTACTATTAGTGGGATGGTAAACAGCTCAGCTCAGACAGCAAAAATTTTTCAGTAATTCTGGAGAGGTTAAAGAAAAGGACAAATCAGGCTGAAATGACAATCAATCATGGGAGAGTAAAGAACAAGGTATAACTGCATGGGAGGGGAGCCACTGGTAAAACAGTCCTGTATTTTATAGGCACTACCCTGTTTCAGCACCTGCTGCTCAGCTGGAACTCCCAATCACTTGTACCAGGTAAGGTGATTTAAAACCACATCTATGGATTCTGAGAGGAAAAAAAAAAAAAAAAAAGTTCTATTCTTTCTGACTTGTACAGTCACTACAAAAGTAGTGAATGGAATTTTATTTTTTCCCACTCGTGCCAGTTATCTGCTCCTGTAAAAACAATTAGCTTTGTATTGAAATCAATGACTTTAAATTCTACAAAACATATTCCCAAACAAGCAAATTTCTTGTTGAGTCCCAGATCGCCACAGGATACACAGAAGTTGAGCTACAGCCTGTAACATCAGATGGCATATAGTCTCATTAAGAAGCCAAACACGGAAGCAGAAGGCTGTTTGCACAGGTCTGAAAAACAGGCACGTTTATTCACCTCTTGTTTTTCCCTTGTCAAAAACAAGAATGATTTAATATCGGGAGACAAGAGGCCTTTGTACAGCCCTCCTCAGCAGGTCAACTTCAAATGGCAAGTCTCAATCTATCACAGACACGCAGCAACAGGGCTGCTTGGCCTCCATTAGAATTCTTCGATAGTTTCATTTGGATTTTAATTATTTGACTATTGCATTTACATTTTTTTATTACACCATTTTTTTTTTCCTGGAAGACAAGTTCACCTGCAAATAAACTTTACAACTACCTCTTATGACACAGTGTGTGTAGCATGTCTTCTAGCTTAAGAAAGGACTTAGCTTAAAAACAAGGAAAGAAAATAGAAAACTAGTCATTGATTCATTACTGTAAGTGAACAAAAGCACTGAACTTACAGCAGTGCAGAAGCTTGTGCAATTTCACTGAAACACTAGTAGCAGGTGACCCCATTTTTGTTCCTATGGCACCTAAAACGAGGGAAGGAGGGAGGGAACAGCACATGATGCCTTGGTTTGGAGGAGATACCAGCTAACTGCGCACGGGAAGCTTCTGGGAGAGATGGCCGTACATAACGGCTACTGTAACAAAGGAAGGAGGACATATACGCACATATAGATGTGGGTGCAGGCGTGCACAGGCAGGGAGGCAGGAGAGAGGGGACTATAACTTTCAAGCAGGACTCTCTGGGAGGCACAGAGGAGGAAAGCGAGGCGACAGCGGCAGCTCGCAGGAGGCGCAGGGCCGGGCCGGGCCATACCTTTCAGCCGCAGGTACTTGACCTGGCTCGGCCGCTGCCGCAGCTCCCGGAGGACGGGGGAGCGGGCGCTGCCCGAGGGGGCGGCCGCCTCGGCAGCGGCGCTGTAGAGCTCGGTGAGCAGCCCGCTCACCAGCGACGAGGTGCGGCTGGACCGGCCGCCGCCAGGCCCTTCCTCGTCGTCGTCCTCCTCCTCGGCCAGGCTGTCGGCGCTGCTGCCCGCCCGGCCGCCCGCCCCGAGCTCCGCCACCTCCATCTTCCCCGGCCGCCTGGCAGCGCCGCCGAGTTCCGGGCTCGGCCCGTTCCACAGCGATACATCGCGGGGGGGGGGGGGTGTGGAGGCGGTCAGGGGAAGAGGGCGGGAGAGCCCAAGCCGGCAGGACGCTCCCCGCCAAGCAGGAGCAGCGCGCCCGGCTCGGCTCCCTCCCCACGCACCGCGCTGCGTGGTAGAGGCCGGCGGCGGCGGCGGGCGGGGCTGCACCTGCTGAGGGGCGGCCGCGCCTCAGGGCGGTAACCGCGGGGCCGGCCCCCGGGCCTGTGGGGGTCCCCGAAGACCGAGGCAAGGGCGTGAGGGTGTACAGGGCGTAGCTTCCGTGATGTGACGGCCGAGGCTGCGGTTGGGCTGCTGGAAGTCACCGCGGAAAACAACGTGAAAATCGGAGCCGCTGATTGGGGCTTGCGCGGCCACCGGAGCCGGGCGCGCCTGGGGTCTGGCTGGCGGCCCCGCGCACCCGCGCTGCGGTCGTCGCGGGTGCCTGAAGAGCCCCGCCGCGCCCGCGCTGCGCTCCTCATCTCTTTCCGTCTTTCCCCGAGATCGGTGAAATGTTTTCCTTCCAGCCGAGAGTGAATTGGCTGGGGCGCGCGACGGCGATGGCGCTGCAAAGCGGGCCAGACGTGGCAGCCCCGGCTGACCAACGTCAGGAATCCGACAGCGAAACGCAGCATTTTGCCACCGAAAAAAAAAAAAAAAACAAAACAAAACCAAACCAAACCACCCATCTCCCGAACAAAACCGCTGCGCCGCCCGCCCTCACAGGCACCGGCGAGAGGCGGCCCCCACGGCAACGGCTCGGGGAAGTGGGCGGGGACACGCCGGGGGGGGGGGCGGGGCTTCCCGCCGCGGCGGCCGCCCGGGCCACGTGACGCCGCCCCCCCCCCCCCCCCCCCCCCGCCGCTTTCCCGGGTCATATGCCGGGGGCGGGGCGGGCCCGCGCGCTGCTCCCCGCAGCTCCGCTGTCGGCCGCGCCGTCTCTCGGGGCCGAGCGGCACCGGCAATCCTCCGTGCCCCCCGTCCGTCCCCGCTGCCGCGCCATGGCCGCCGCCGGGGTCTGGGGGCTGGCGCTGGCCGCTCTGCTGGTGCTGAGCCCGGCGGGGGCAGTCCGGCAGGCGCGGAGGCCCAACGTGGTGCTCATCCTCACCGACGACCAGGACGTCTGCCTGGGCGGCATGGTAACCCCGCGGGGCCCCCGGCCCGGGGGGACGGGCGGGCCGGGTGGGTCAGGGGAGCGCTGCGAGAGGCTGGGGTCAGGCTGCGGGGTGGTGGGCCCGGGAGAGGGCACGGCGGGAGGCGCGGGTCGGTCCGCCTCTGTCTGGGGCGGCAAGCGGCGCGGCCGGGGCCCGGGTCTCGCTCCGCGGCCTCGGGGAGCGTCACCGTGGGCTTCCTCGGGTGGGCGAAGCTTCTCTGGGGAGCCGCCGAGGCTGGAGGGGGTCGAGGCTGGGGCTTCTCCAGTGCAGCCTCTGGTAGCCCCGGGGAGCTCCCTGGACTTCGGCTGTCGTGGGCTGGCCTGTGCAAGCGCCGCGGCGGCCGGAGGCCCTGGCAAAAAGGCACTCTGAGTGGCTTGCGTGGGCAAGCCGTGGTGGTGGCCCTTCTTTCAGGTAGTCATACGCCTGCTTCAACTCCCTTACTTTACCTAGCATCCTTGTGTTTTTAGCTGTTTTCTTTTTTGTACCTTTCTTACAGACCCCCCTAAAGAAGACTAATGCTCTTATTGCTCAAAAGGGAATAACCTTCCTAAACTCAGTAAGTGCTTACACTAACTCTTTGAACTTTTCAGGTGTGTGCGTCTGTGTGGTTTGTGTCTTGGGTCATCTGAGCTCTCAAAACTGGTAATAGTTTTATGAAATCTGTGCAAATGCATGTGGGTCTTTTCAGTTCACTCTCTAACTACTTTTAGGTCTCAAAACGAGTATAGCTCAAGGTTCAGAATCTGGGAGGGAAAATTTCACTTCCTAAAAGTACTTGTGCTAACTTCCTTAAACAGTAAAGTAAATCTGAATGTTTTTATTAAACTGAGAAGCATTAGAAGAAGCTACTTAAAACTTTCAGCTTCCTGCATGCTGAAAACCCACCTCACTCTTTTTCGTATTATAATGTATTGCCACAACTGAAATTATGGAGTGAATCAACTGGCAAACAGTATTTTAATGGATATTTGCCTCTGTAAGAACTGTGTCTGATCTGGGGCAGATTGAAGGGCATATGCTGCAGGAACCTACAACGGGCTTCATGTGCACCTTCTAACTAGTGAAAATACTTGGGATATAATTCTGTGTGTCCAGAAAGAAGCGTGCTTTAATGTTGAACATTTTAGTCAACCTATTAGCTGATATTTCAAAACAATTAATTCTGGGGAAAAATTGTTTTACAATGTCAGTCTCTTCATCCTGTCTTTCCAGTACGTTCCCAGTGCACTTTGCTGTCCCAGTCGAGCTAGCATTCTAACAGGAAAATATCCACATAATCATCATGTTGTCAATAACACTCTGGAAGGAAACTGTAGCAGCAAGTTATGGCAGAAGATTCAAGAACCATACACTTTCCCAGCGCTGCTCAAAACTATGTGTGGTTATCAAACATTCTTTGCTGGAAAGTATTTGAATGAGGTATTTTGTTCTTTTTTTTTTTTTTTTTTACTGTGATGCAGTTCATTTGCATTTCTCCAACTTTCTAAAACATTCAGTGATTTTTAGACTTGTAGCTGATGGTGGGACCCCAGAATGTTTAAAATGGTGTTACATGGATGAACAGTTCTCTTTGAGATGGGATAAATATGATGCAAAATTCAAATCTTTAACTTGATTAAAATCAGTTTTTTTAGGTGCCTGAATGTTTTTAAAAGTTAACTTTGAATGGATGATTGAATCCAAAGGCTTTTTTAGTGTGTTTAGATGTGTTAATTTTTAGACATGATGATTTTAATGACTGGGGAAAATAGGTAGTTGATTGGCACGTGGTATCAAAGAACACTGTAACGCCAGTGCTGACCGGGTGTGATGTTAGAATAGCGTTAAAGAAAAAACTATTTGTCTCAATATTCCTGACTGATACATCCCCTTGAATCAGAGGACTGTTTTCTTTTAGCAGTTAATATGGTATTTTAACTATTAAATGTCCACTGAGGCAAATTCATTGGGAGAATGGATATTATTGGAGCTCTTTAGAGGTTACCCAACATTTTTTTTATTGAATCACTTGTATTTGTGTGCTTTTTGTTATTTTTTTTTTTTGTTTTTAACTAAGCTGTGGTTTATAGTAGTTTATGGTGAGATGTAAAATTCGGTGCTGCAAGCTCTAAGATCAGGTGTTCCTCTTGATGGAATTGTATTTGGAGCTAGGTGAGTTTCAGGGTCCTTAACAGCATTATTTTCTTCGTATCTCTTGGTGGAAAGTGGTAGTGATATAATAAAATAATGGAACGTGAATTTTAATAGCCAGGCACAGATTTGTTTCTGTGTCTGATGTTACTGGGGCAGCTGGGTGAAGGAAGGGAAACTTACCTGGCTTCCTCTGAGCATCCCTTCACTCGGCAGCCTCCTGTCCCTGCAGATAGGCAAGCTGTGTAAATGGGGGAAGGCAGCCCTGAGAAAACCCAGCCCTGAGAAAACCCGTTGTGTTGCTCTGAGGACACCCTCTGTTTTGAGTTTGGCACTGATTCAGCAGCTACTTTCCTTTTTTTGCTGGGTTAAAGGCTAGTTGTTGTAGATTATTTGGCACTGAGGTGACAAGAAGCTAGCTTTGCTTAAAGTTCATACCCCCTTTTGGGGGAGGAGGATGGAAGCTGTTGGTCTGTGAAATTTGGTATCTTTAGTGTCTTGTGAACTGTTATCACAAAGCCTAAGAGTGTCTTGTCGCATCTTTTTTGATGTTTTTTGATCACCTCTCATTGCCTGATGATGTTCTCCGGGTTTTCTGCGTGTTTTCATGTTCAGAGTAGAATAGGGAATAAAATTTAAGTTTTACTGGTGAATGTCATGTTTTCAGTTACTGTCTTTCTAGTTATTTAACCCCGGTTTCTTTAACAGTCTATAAATGTGTTTTTATATGCATATGTATTTGGGTTTTTCCGTTCTGAAACTGAATTTGGCTTGATGCAGTTTCTGACTGGTGTTGGATAAAGCACGCAAATACGAAAGATAATTTCTAGCTTTTATTCATCATAATTGAAACTGAGTCATGGTCTGTCTTTTTTTTTCAGTACGGAGCAGAGGATGCAGGGGGAGTAGGTCATGTCCCTCCTGGATGGAGTTTTTGGTATGCTTTGGTATGTGACTATTCTTTTTTTTTAAATAGTTGATTTCAGTTGCTTTATAATCCAACTCATGTTTTAAATTTGCTGGTCATGAAGGAGCAGGCAAAGAGCATCTAACAACTTAATAATTTTCTTCCTTTTTTTCTCTGTTGTATGTCAGATCCTTGGCTTTCCCAGTGGCTACTCCTGCTAAGGTGCCTGGGGAAAAACCCCGACTTGTAAAGCCAAGGCAGTGTGCGATAGGACAGTGTGTGATAGTTTTCATGTTGGAGACGAGTTCTGAGAAGTCTTGCGGTGTCTTTATGATAAATCCTTATAACCTATTTGACAAATGCTTGTTGGTAGCTCATTCTGGTTATTTCAAGTAATCAGTGTACATGTTACTTTGTATAAATACACGTGACTTCTTTTTCACAGGAGAAGAATTCAAAGTACTACAACTACACCCTTTCAGTAAATGGCAAAGCACGAAGGCATGGTGAGAACTACAGTGTAGATTATCTGACAGATGTACTGGTAAGAAATTTTGTAACACCTGTGTCACAGAAATTGCTTCTGACCAGATAATGCCCCACGCTGGGGGCTTGGAGAGGAGTGGGGATGGTAGTTTGTTAGGCTGTATTAGTACATAAATACATGATTGTGCTGTTGTGGTGGTGGGTGGGCATTAATCAGCAGAGCAAGGTTCTGGGTATATTTAGAACAGCCAAGCTTGTGTGTACAAGCTGTGGAAAAAGGAGAGGGATTCCAGCTGCCCATTTGCTAGCCAGTAGCCTCGCTGAGAGATTAATACTGACTGCTGTGGTGCATGAGGAACATGATGCATGTAGGCAATGACTCACATTACTTCAGAGAAGGATGTGTTTCATTACAATACACAACTCCTGTAACAGATTAACTGGACCAAGATTTCACTGGGAAGTTAAGCATGTGAAAATAACTTTCCACCATGTTTTGTTTGTTAAATATTATGATGTGTTAGTATCTTGTAATCTCCAGTTTTGATACTTGGAAGTATCAAAGTGTGATTAATCTTCCATAGTGTGAAAGAGCAAATAAGGACTGTGCAAAATGTGTAGCTGGCCAGGGGAGCTTTTAGCCTCTTTACCCTCTTAAAGTAAAGAAAGGTAACAGATATCAGATTCTTAAAGGAAAGCTGGAAGAGTTACTTCAGCTCTCTTGAGTCCCTGCTTAGCAACTAGTATTAGCATGGAGGTTGGGGAGTGGGGGGAGTGTTCCTCCTGCCCACCAAGCTGGAGTCTTAATTTCACATAGTGTTACAGCATTTGGGGTGGTAGTGCTGGGAGCTCCCATGCAGCACTTGAGAAAAATCTTTGCTGAGAAGTCTTCGCATGCAGTCAATTTGCAGTCTTGCATTGAGACCCTAATAGTTCCATTCCAGTGGGTTCTTGAGCACAGACAGCTGCTTACTAGGAACAGAACTGACTGATGTTTCTTTGGGTACTGAAGATCTGTCCAATTAAATTTAGATTTACACTCTGTAAAGCTAGATTGGAATTAATAAGACAGAAGTGAGACTAGCCTGTTACTGGCATTGTACTGGTGTTTCTTGATCCTTCAGCAGCTTGTAAGCATTTTGACCAATAGGTCATTGCCACATAAACCTTCTACTTGTGGAGTGTTACCTACTGATACAGCAGTGTATTATGATTTTCAGTGTGTTGCATTCTACCTCCTTCCCATGGTTACCAAATATGTATTTCAGAGCTACTGCTTGAGTTTAATTCACTCGATGGACAGTGCACAGGAGTAAACTGCTTATGCAAAGTTCCTGTGTTGCTTGATGTGATGCACAAGCTTTCTTGTCCTGACTAAGGACATCTATGTGCTTAAGTCTGGTATTAAGAATCTGAATACCTGGATCTGTTTACTGCAGTCCTGACATGTTGCAGTTTAAGCTTCTAACAAAACCCAAGCTGACTACCCCTATGAGTTCACCTCCATCAAATTTTTTTCTGGACCAGGTTTTTGAACTTCCCACAGTTCTTATCCTCCTTTAACTCTGTAGCCATATAACTGAAGTCCAGCCCTAACTGCTTAGATGTACAAGTTATGAGGATGGACAAGTTAAGAGGATGGAATTTCTAGTGTGTTGTTTTTTGTAGAGAAAGAAAGGATATCCAAGATGGAATATACTAATAAGACAGGAAAGAAAAATATTGCAAGATTTGGATAGCAAAGAATTCATCTTCAACTAATACCTTTGAAGCTTTAATTTCACAGGCTGACGGAGGGAAGGCCAAAGTGGAACTCAGTCTCTTCTGACTTTCTACTTGAAACTGCATGTAGGCTGAAACAAAAATGAAAGTGCAGTGGTGTGGTTGAATGGAGTGTGGCACTGTCCTTCTCTAGTGCTTCTGGCTTCACCAGCAGAAATGTGGTGCCCCTTATAAACTAGGAGCTTGCTACCGAACGAGCATATGCTGTAAACAGTGGGGCTGAAAAACTTTTTCAGAACTCTTACTATTTCTGAAGACAATTGAAACTGCTAAACTGGGATCTGTCAGGCAGGAGATGGCATCTGAGAGCCTCAGAAAGACTCAGGCTATGTAAAAAAAGCTCCAATTTTACTTGATGAAAATTGAGTTTAGGTGGATTTTATTGATACTTGGAATAGGCACAAACTTTTGATGAGCTTTCCAGGTCTAAATAACACAAAGGCCTGAAGTAGAAAGCTGTTCAGAGATATGTGGGACAAATGACTTGTGTAATATGGACACTTGGGATTATTTTTTTTTTATCATGAGCTGCTGTTCTGGACATTTGTAGATCAGCAAGCAATAAGTTTCTGAAATACTTTAAATGTTCTCGGTACTACCGAGCTCTAAATAAGTTATGAATGTCTAGTCTGGATTTCTCAGATACTTGCTGTTTTCCTTTGGAGTTATGACTTTTCTTCTCCAACCAAACTGTTCACAGGCCAACATGTCATTGGACTTCTTGGAGTACAAATCTAACTTTGAACCTTTCTTTATGATGATCTCAACCCCGGCACCGCACTCCCCCTGGACAGCTGCTCCACAGTATACAAAAAGCTTTCAGAATGTCAGTGCTCCAAGAAACAGCAATTTTAATATTCATGGAAAGGTAAGCTAACTAGCAGTAATCTGCATAGGTTATCCTGCTAGCTTGGGAGAGCAGTGGGGAATGACCCTGATTTGCACGGTAAGTTTAAACAGTGAGAGGAATAGGCTAATACCATGGCTCCTGGTTGTTCAGTTATGTTAATCAGCTTTTCAGGGTAAGATATGTTTATTGTGACTTTGAGATATTTGCATACCAATATCTTGTAAATAAAAAAAGTGTAGTGTCAAGAATAAGGCAGTACAGTGGAATTATGATTGCTAAATGGGAAAAAGTTAATTCCTTGTCCAGTTTCCAGACTTTCTGAAGCTCTTGATGGTCTTTCACTGCTCTCAGTATGTTCAGGAGAACACACAGGCAGTAGTGTGCTACTCAAAGGCTCAGATAAATAATGGAGAGCCCTCTCTTCCTACGTACATCTGCTCATGTGGATGGGTGGTCTATTACTTGAGCTTGTGGCAAAGCTGCCCCTGGGTGACAAGCATGATCAGGCTAACCAGAGGACTTAGTGAAGTCATGAACCACAGGGCCCAGGATCACTAAGGACTTCAAGAACTTGCCTTTCATTTGTTGAAATAACCTGTAACCACAATTGCTGAGCCTAATGTTACAAACTCAGACATCCTTGTGACGGGGCAGTACCTTCCACTGCCAGTAAACCTGACCAAATATGGTCTAGCTCAGGCTAATCTGCTGCGACTTAGTTGGCTAATAAGTGAAAGTGAAAGTCACAATTAGTGACTGAGATATTTAACTTACAGAAGTTTCGTATTTTTGATTCAATTATCTTAAAACATAGAACTCGCTACTGTTCATTGTTCAACCTATTCACTTACAGGATTTTTCTGATCTTAAGACTAATGCCTAAATGCCTATCTGGAGCCCAGTGATAGCTCTTCTAAGGTCACTGTGACTCATGTAGTACAGGGTGAAACTTGTTTTTAGCTGAGGATTGCAGCTTCCAAAATGACCGTGTGCTTATCAGCACAATATAAAAACATGAATGAAAGGGGAGAAAAGGGCTGTGGGCAGTAACAAATACTTTAGCCCAACCTGTTCAAGTTTTGAACTAGGGAGTGGACATCAGACTGTTTTTTATTCCTCCATAAAAGAATCCCTAACTTTGTCTTAGACTTCATTACTGTAATAACTGAATGCTTTTAACATAGTGAGCCAGAAATAACTTGACCAGAGAAGTCAGCAGCTAGCCGAAAAATATGGTGTGGGAGTTCCCTTGTGTGGAGCAAAAGGTCTGCATGTGCCTGTATAACTCAAAGCAAAACGACAGACTGACTTAATGTTTGGTAGTTAATATCTGTGGATACAGCAGTTTTACTGGGTTTCACAATAGGAACAGACTAGCATTACCCTTCTTCCTAGACACAATAGTTACGGTCATTAGCAGTGTGCATTTCTGTAATTGGCGGTGTTGTGGTCTTGAAACCTAACTCTTTGAGCTTTGCTGTTTTCTAGGGCAAACACAGTTCCTGCAACAGCAATAAACATGTACGTAGACTCAGACCCTCAAGTCATTGATGTTGTAATGCTTGCTAGACAGTCTTGCATTGTACAGTCTTGATTCCTAAAGGAATGTTGCCTAGCTTCCTTATACGGTATGAGGGCAAGGTGGACTAAAAGGAGCCATCTAGGCAGAACCTCTGCATGAAAGATAGGAGTTCAGCTGTTGTCAGACCCTGGCTGGTGATGTGCACTTTAATTTCTGCTTAAGTTCCTCAGCTGTGAACTATATCAAATGATGGGGAGCTGCCTGGTTTCCCGTGCAGGACTGTTGATAGCCCAGACGGGTGGTTTATCTAAGCTGTTCTGAGGGAGAAGCTGATTAAGACACGTGTTGGGTATTTCTTGCATGCATTGTTTTTCCTGCAAAATCGGAGCACAGCTGTGTTCAGATTCTGCTGGTAAAACATGGTATGCTGTCTCAAGGTCTCTTAAAATTTCTTTGGGACTGGGACATAGGGAGGCAGCAGGAGTGGTGGACACCTTTGTATGTAACTGATGAGAGAGTCCTGACAGGGAAGCAGACTTGAGGACTCAAGTCAGTATGAAGCTTATTTGAAATCCACAAAGGTGTTTAGGTGCTGTGTGACATTTCAAAAAACTTCAGAGAAAGGTAGGAAGAATAAAGTGCTTGAGAAAAGAGAAGAGTTGTACTGCACTAGATGACTGATCCGCCTGAGTTACCCAGCAAGGTTGTGCCTTGTGCAGGCCCTCTCATAAGCCACCTCTTATAAGAGGTGGCTGGTGCACAGGTAACACTGCCAGTTCCTTTGTTCTTTGAAGAACTTCTGCAGAGCTGGGAATGGGATTTGTGATGTCTTTCCTTACTTTTTCCTCTCTCAGCCAGCACACAAGCCCTAGATGTTTGGTCTTGGCTATGCAGCATCTTCTTGCTGAGATAGACTTGGTGTCTCTCCAGAGACTTGTTTTACAACTACTGCAAAAGAGGGATCTGAATACAGCTTAATTAAAATAAACTGGACATGGTATTGTGTCTCCATGCAAAAAAATCTCCTTCAGTCGGCAAGAACAGAAAAAGGGGAACTGGATAATTGCAGGAGTTATGAGTCACTTCATTGTGAGTCCCTAAAGCCTGAGCTTGTTTGGAGTCACTCGCTTGTGACGGGAGGGAAGTTGCTTAGGGAGAAGAGTGACCAACTAAATACAGGCTCAAGCTGAGGGTGATGAGTGGGTCATCTCTGACCTACTAAACAAAAAAGTCTAAAGCTGCATTGACATGACTTTCTCCTTTATTCTGCTCCCCACTAATGCTAACCTTCCTGTGTACTTGTACAGCAGCTGACCCACCTCTGTTACTTTGGGGGGACGGGTGAGGGGAGAAAAGGAAGGACTGTTTCTGAAAGTTGGGGATGCAGCTAGAAGAATCAATAACTCTTCAGCTAAAGAAATGCTTTTGTACTGGAGTAAAAAAAAATCCAAATAAAATGGCAGTGTTTCCTCTCCCCTCAGTAGTCTCCAGCCCTGAGTTCATAGGCTACCAAGAATCTGGTAGTGGCACCATTACAGATCTTTGTCCTCACCTGTCCATAAATTAGGTAATCCTAATTGCTTTTGATGCAGGAATTTCTCCCCACCTTTCTACCTGTGTTAGGAAGCTCACCAATCTTAGTCCCAAAAGAACCTCACTTGGACAACCAAGTCCAATCTTACAATGCTGCTCAGTCCTTCTGATTTTTTTTTTTTTTTTTAATCAGTCCTGTCTCAGGCTACCGCACTTTTATCTCTGGGAAAGCCTTCCCCAGCTCCTTTCACAGATTTCTTCCCTGAACTGCTTTGAAAAGATCCACAGCTATTTTCTTCTCATCAAGGGCTGAGCATAATGGAGCTGTAATATATTCTACTCTTGCAATTTAGCTTTTATATGAACCAGGAGGGAAAATAGGAGTCAGGTCAGTTTGATAGCACTGCCTGGCTATTTCACAGGAGTCAGATGTTTTATCCTAAACAACATTTTTGTTGTACTTGGTCTAGGAAAGGTTTAAAAGCTGGTACTTCTTTCCTACGCTTATCTTTTTGTCTTTTTTTCTTTAGAACAAGCACTGGTTAATTCGGCAAGCAAAGACCCCAATGACTAATTCTTCAATACAGTTTCTTGATGATGCTTATAGAAAGCGGTAAGAATTTTTTTGTTGCTTAAGATTTCTGCTCAGAACTTGTATTGTTTATTAAAAAAAAAAAGATTATTGTGGGTTTTTTTTAAAGGGTTATAAGAAGTCTGACAGTAGATGTCAGATGACCTGTAATAGTTCTCTGGCATCTGTTTCAATACCTGACCCTGTTTACTTTTTGCCAAGAAATTTGTCATTAACTTCAGAAATATTTTGCTGCCAAATGCTGACATCATTTACCATAAAAAAACCCCAATCACACTCGGTGCCTCTACTGCTTCTCTTTCAGTGCACAACAGGTTGTCATAAAAAATGGCCTTACCTTCTACTTCACTTGAATTCCAGATTCTTACATTATGCACATCAAATGTGAATGATTTATCTGGCAGCTAATCTGATTTATTAACTTTGGCTTTCAGTCTGTGGTCTTTTTACACAGGAATACCTGGCTGGCCAAGGCAGGTACCTGATTCCTTTTTATAAAAGGGGATGTGGGAGGTAATGTGAAGAGACAGCTTGCTCCCCCTTTTTAAAAGAAAAGAAGGGTATTTGTTTACATGGTATGTGTATTTTCTTTAGGCTAAAGTTTGTTTCAGAGCTTTTAACTTGAAGTGTTAAACTCAGATTTGAGCTGTTATCAGGAATTACCTTGTCACTTTGGAGATGCGAAACCAAGGTTTTTTTCAGGCTCTTGCTCTATAAGGCATGAAGAGAAAATTCTGCAACAAAATCTTAAATTAAGCCTGGAGACAGCAGGATCCAAGAGTTGACTAACTCTAGTTAATTCAGCATAATACTAGTCTGTGGAGGCTTGATATTGGCTTAGCAGAAGCAGTCGCTTATCTCGGAATCACAGAATGTTTTGGGTTGGAAGGGACCTTAAAGATCAACTTGTCTCAACGGCAAACCCCACGACAAAGGAGAGAATAACTTGTAGCTGTTCAAGGCTATAGATAGACTGCAATAATGGACCCTGATATATGAGTAATACAAAATAGCTGATGTAGTTTTCAAGAGAAAGAATCCCATATAGATAATTAAATTCGTGGCAGTCTTGTATATTAATATAAAAACTACATATAAACAACTACTAAGTGACCTTGCAGGAGCTAACTCGGACTCTTTGCCACCGTGTTGCTTCAAAGTTGGTCTTGACTGTCTCCAGATAAGAAATAATTGTCATTTCGAAGTCCTTCTCAGACACTACAGGCTGAAATCAACAAGAAATGAAGACAAACAGTCTATTTCTATCTTAAACTGCATTCTCAAAAAGTACACTGTAGTCATCTGTGAAGTTTGTTTTCAGAATTTGAAAACAAAACAATCCACTTACAGTGCATACACTGATTTGAAGCAGAACATGAAGGTCCTACCTGCAGTAAGAATTATTCTAAATTTTTCATACTCTAATACGACTTAATTTGTTTCTATATAGGTGGCAAACACTCCTTTCAGTAGATGACCTGATAGAAAAACTAGTGAAGAAGCTGGAACTGAATGGAGAATTGGACAACACATACATCTTTTACACATCGGACAATGGCTTCCACACTGGTAAAATTTTCACTGCTTACTGAACATTTGTAGAAGATCCAGGAATTGCATAACATTTCACCGTCATGACCACTCCAGAAAATGGGAGCAGCAGCTGTGGAAAACTGTAGACATAAGTACTGATTTGAGTTGCAGAACAAGCTGGAGTTGCAGTGTGTGGGGTGTTTGGGGATTTTATTGTTTGGTTGCAGTTTCTAGCATTAATCTCTACCACTGTATCTTGGTATGCATGAAATCGGGACAGAAATGGAGGAAGGGTCTCTGTGTTCTGTAGGAAGTTGCCATGAAAGAGTTAACCAGTAAAAATCTGTCAGAGGCCTGTCTGTATCATGTTACTGCATTTTTAGTTGTACATCTAAAGTTTGTAAGGTACAGCTTACACTTTGAAGTTGTCTGTTCCCGGTCCTTCACTATGTTCATGTAGTTCAGGTTGAGAACCTCTTCTGACTTCTTAAAAAATCGGCTGCTGGAAATTATGTAACACAAGGCTCTTAAAATGTCAAAGAAGCCGTTTAACTTTTTCCATTTTCTGTTGTATAGGCCAGTTTTCTTTGCCAATAGACAAACGACAGCTGTATGAGTTTGATATCAAAGTTCCATTGCTAGTTCGAGGACCAGGGATAAAACCAAATCAGACGAACAAGGTAAGGAAGAAGTGAAATCTGAGAATGGAGGTACTTTTGATATTGCTTCACAGTTACCCACTTTACGTAATAATTTATCCTCCTGCATATACATGTATCAATGAAATGAAGTATATGGAGTGGTAGGAAGTGCAAAGACATTCTAAAAAGCTGTGTGCTGTTGCTTGGATCAGTAAGTTTAATTAATGGCAGGCTACAAAAGCAAACCAAGTGTGAAGCTCACTCTCCAAAGAGATTCCTTTTAAATGTTACAGGGTCCATTAGCCTATAAGGATGAGATTAAATAGAATTTAGGCGTACCTAAAGTTACAAGTACTTAAAATACAGAAGTCTCATCATTACATCTGTGAGGTTCTGTTCTTCTGAAGTAAGTTTTCCTCACCTTGCAGATGCTTGTTGCAAATATTGATTTGGGTCCCACTATTCTGGATATCGCAGGGTATGACTTGAATAAGACCCAGATGGATGGGATGTCGCTATTGCCGCTGTTGGTGAGTAGACAGACGGGGGTAGTAACCAGTAATTCTTGCAGGGGTTATTCTTCAAAGTGAATACTACTTCCTTCGATAGACTGGGTCAACTCATATCCCAGATTCTTCCCTTGATGTCACTTTCATGTGGGATGTTCACAGCTTAGTAAAAACAGTAGGTATCTTTAAATGCAGATGTATTTTCATCAGCCCTCCAACTTTCGTTGTTTTTTAATAGAAAGTTGTATCATCCTTTGGCTAATCCTCCCATTTGTAATAATTCCTGTCTTGAAGGCTGTATGTTGGTTACACCTTGCATCCTTCTTCCTCCTTTCCTTAGGATTTCTTAACATTGAGATAGGAGAAGACTGTTCTTACTGTTCTTACTTAAATCTTTGGTGTGCCTCAATTTTCAGTAGAATTAGTGTTTCCCCCTAAACTCTGGAAAAATGCATGTGGTTTTATAAAGTAAACCTGACCTTTCCAGTAAGTGAGCAGAAGCCTATTTAAATGAAGCTGCTTGCAGTTGATCCATTTAGCTTTAATTAAGTTTAGTCTACAAATAGAAGGCAGCTTACTTGGAAACAAAGGAGATCATCCAGATTTAAACAGTGCTTTGCTTTTAAAAGCTTGTATCCAAACCTTAAGCTGTACTTGAGATGGAAACAGGTAAAAGGCATCTGGTTTAAACTCTGATGGAATCAAACTGTGAAACTCATTGTTTTGCTGTATATGCGCCTGTGATGGTTCTGTGTATTAACTTCAAAATTCCCTCTCCCTCTGTCATTTAAAATGCAGCTACAAATAGAGCAACTTAAAACTTAGTTGTTTCTTAAAGCTGTTTATCTTTTCATATGCCAAGGGTATCTTTTTTCCCATCTGTTGTGGTAGTCTGATATAAATCCAAGAGAAACAGTTTTGTTATGGGGATCTTGTCTGTAACGTAGCAATATCTGGTGATGTGGCTCCTATTTGGTATGACTACATGATTATTTATAAATTGAAGGTAGTACTTTAAAGCTTCGCAAGAAGGTGTACTAATATTTTTGGAGTTGGATTCTTGTCTTCCAGTTACACAAGACATTCTAACCTAAGGCTCAGTATTATTTTAAGACTGACTCAAACTAGAGATGATGACTCAAACTGCCTCGTAAGCAGCAGGCAGTGTTAGTGTTACACCAGACATGGAGTAGTTCTGTTTCATAGTGCAGTGGATAGTAAGTGATGTTAACCTCTTGTCCTAGAGAGGAGACAAAAATGTGACGTGGAGATCAGACTTCTTGGTGGAGTACCAAGGAGAAGGATACAACGGCAGTGATCCGACCTGTCCCGGCCTTGGACCTGGAGTCACAGTAAGCAAGACAAGATCTGTTTAATATTAGAAAATAGCCGCTGAATTCAGCCTGTTTGCCATGTGGACTAACTTGGTTCTATAAGTAAGCTCCCAGTGTCTTGGTAAGTAGGAGCTAGCTCTGTAGGTCCTGTGCAGCATTTAAGAATCAGAGGGAGACATCCAGCCGTGCGGAACCAATGTGGCCTTATGACCACACAGAGCAGTCACCCTTTCAGTGGGAATCTATAGAGCCTCAGGGCTGGAGGAATATGCAGGAAGGTGTGGGCTTGGCACAGTGGGTGACAGCGACATCATGTTCTTTCTAAACTTCCAGCGTCCTCGTCGCACAATTCTGATCTGTGACTGCTAGGTCACTAGCTACATCCTGAATCAAAGTAGGTTTGCTTAAAGTAAAGCATCCCACTGGTGTTGTCTCCAGTAGCATGTGTTGTGCTGTCCTTCAGTGCATGTACATCAGCTTCCCAGAAAAAAATGTGCTTAATCACGGTGAATTTCATAACAACATCTTCTCAAATTTAGAAGAGCTGAGTTTTTACTTAAAATCCCCAGTGGAGACTTGCACATGTTAGACTAAGGTCCTGGCGTTCATCAGTTCAGTACAGTTGGCTTGAGCTGGTATAGGCTTTAGGAGAAGGATTGCTAGTTCATCTTTTTTTCCTGAAGTTTTTGTTTGCTGCTCACTTCACAGCACTGCTTCCCAGACTGTGTCTGTGAAGATTCCTACAACAACACATACGCTTGTGTAAGGACACTGTCAACTTCCTGGGATCTGCAGTACTGTGAATTTGATGACCGGGAGGTAAGTCTCTGTCTGACTAGCAGATACCAACTGTGTGAGCCGCTGTCTGCGCTCTTATCTGCTCTCAAGGTTTTCCTAAAATACTCTGAGAAGTAGACTAGCATTGCTTGCAGGATAAACAGTGAAGTATTTATCTACTGGTGAGAATGTTTGACCAGAACTCTGGTGGGGTTCTGGGAAGAAGAAAACAAACCAAAAAAGGGATGTGAGGCGAGTGAGAAAGGGACACTAGCCTAAACTATGCTTATCGCCTTCTGGTATCACCCAAAAGCCCCATGGGGAGCCGTGCCAGGGCCATCGCTCACTGGTTTGTCTGGCAAAACAAGTAAAGTTATAACTGTGGGAAAGGTCTCTAACCTTATTGTAAGTTGTTTGGGCATAAGGCACGTGATGTCCCCCCCTCAGAAACTGTTCAAATCTCACTAGTGGAGCACCCACAATACGCGTGAAACTTGGTGTGTTGCAGGGCTGATCTTTACTTGTGCCTGTTTGCACACAGTTGCTCCAGGGAGCATGTTGGGTTTGAGGCACCCAGGCCACAAATCTTATAAACTGCATTGTCAGCAGATGTGCAGTGAAAGCATAAACAGCATAGACAGCAGGTACCCCCAGTTTTCATGCCACCACGGAACATTTTCTGGTAGTCTACAATGAACAACTTAAACCAGGGGAGTAAATACCACAAGATGGTTTTTGCAGTAAGATAGCAAGAAAGACTATAGGAGACCAAGATGCTCATTAGCAAACCCTGTCCTTCGTTTGTGCACCCAGACAATTTATGATGAAGTTAAATGAATGTTACAGCTTCCCCCATAAAAGCAGACTCTGAAGTTGATCTGACACTTCATGTCACTTTTATTTCCAGTAAGAAGCTATGGCTGTGACATTTTTGGATCACTCAGCTTACCTGGGTCAACTAAATTAAGACTAACAGTACTGGGGAGATGCAGCAATGTGGCTTTGAAAACCTGACAGTGAACCTTACAAGAAAGCTTGCAACCAAAGACTGTCAGGATGCATCTTTAAGTTAGACACAACCCAGCCAGTTTTAATCAACATCCAGCTACAATCAGGCCTTCTGCTCTAGTGCAGACAAAACTCGGCTGAATTCCTGAGATATGCTTGACTGGTGTTTGTCCCACAGAAGGGTTTAGAGATTTAATGTACCAAATCCAAACCTGCCCTAAAATCCTCCAGACAAACCTTGTCAAAGTGGCATGCACAAAAAAAAGCTTTCTCATATTGGAGTTATAGCATACTTGAGTTCAGTGCATTTTGTACATGTGGTCAAGACACCTGTCTGGGTCTGACATCTGGCAGTACCTGATGAGTGTATTGTGGTGATGTGATGGTCATGAAATTGCGTGTTTTGAGATCTGTTAATGAAAAGACAGCCAGCTTAGCCATGGCCTCTTGCTGTGGTCTTAGTCATAAGACAGGTTCCCTTTATGTGTTAGGAAAAAAATCTGCAGTGTAGCAAGTGAGTACTTCAGGTGGAAGTGAAAACTCTTCCGACAATACTGTACTATCACAAAACTTTAGCTTTACGCTGTCCTGCCTTTGGCCCCTTAGCTGCCTGGCTATACAGCTTATGTGTGGGGATGCTGCACTGGAGTTGGAAATAACATTTGAGACCATATGCTCCCATAAAGTGTTCTTCCCAAATAATATGGTTAAATGTTGATCAGCATTTAGGACTTAATACAGTGCAGGAACTTTCTTCTGCAGGTGTTTGTGGAAGTGTACAACTTGACTGCAGATCCACACCAGATCAATAACATTGCTAAAACAATTGATCAAGAAATTCTAGAAAAGATGAACTATCGATTAATGATGCTGCAGTCCTGTTCAGGAGCAACTTGCCGTACACCAGGTGTCTTCGATCCAGGGTAAACACTGATTCAATTAATCATTATAGTACTTTTAAATATAACTATATTCTTTAAACTATGCTTTTATAGAGGTTATTTATGATGGAATAGAATATTACTGACATAGCATGTCTATTGAAAACCAGCATCTTTCTTGATGCTTCTGTTTCTTAATGTTGAATCTCTATTTTAATCTAACCTACCAAATATAACTTGATAGTATTAATACTACTACTCCAATCTTGTCGGCCACTGCTGACTTGGAATAGCTGAAGCTTACAGCTGTGCTGACTACTCAGAGACAAGTGACTTCAGGTTTGTCTGCAAACAAGGGGAAGCTTTGCAGGGCTCTGTAGGCTGGCATTTTCCAAACACTTGCTCTGATTGCTCCTGTAGATGCTGTTAGCAAAGAATGTTTTCTGTGGGACCTAAGCTGTACGTATTTGTCAGCTGTTGCAAGGAAATAGCACTTACTGCAGTAACTTCTTACTGCAAAATTCAGTCTGTAATCATTGGGACCAAACCTTTTTGAAGCACTGTTTAAAACGTCCTTGCAGTTGTGCTGCGTAAGTTTTTGTAATTTGAGGCAGCAAAGCTTTCTGTTAGAATGCATCTCCTGCACGCTTCATGTTACACGTGCCAATCTGCTGTTGGTATGTGGTAGCTAGTATTTAGTTGGAGACTGGCAACTCCTCAGTTGCACATCATTAGTCTTGTAATACGTAGAGAGGTTGTGCTGGCTGCTTCCTGGTAAGAAAGCAACTACTCACATAGCCTTGTGCCAGAGCTACTCTAGAAGTAAGCTGTTTTTAGGAGTGTCAGTCACTGTGAGCTAACTGTAGCTCACGCAGACTCTGTTCCTTTCCACAGGTACAGGTTTGACCCGCGGCTCATGTTCAGCAATCACGGGGTTCGGGCTCGGAGGTTTTCTGCACAGTCCCTATAAGGCACGTAAGAGCCTCTTGCAATCCGCTCCCGCTGACCAGATTCTCCAGTGGCTGCAGCAGGTCTGTCTCTGTAACTGCCCTTGATCGCAGCTGGAAGACTTTCAATGGGCTATTCAAACCCTGTTTGGAAGAAACTCCTTGTCTTTAGCTGGTTGCCTTGTGCAATATGTATATTACAGCTGAACTGTAACTCTAAAGCATTAGACACAGCTAATCTGTCTTGCTCAGATAGTTGATTACCACCTTTGTCTTTCAAGTACCTTTTCATATCACAGGCACAGAGGTGAACCTATGCCTATGGATCTCAACAGTTTATTTTGTTCTAAAAAAATCAATAAATGCACATGTGAGTTGGGTTAGATAGGCAGGTGCTATTGCACAGTAATGCTCACCCATATTCAGTGTCATAGACTTTCTTAAAAGCTATGTTTAATTATAGGTTTCCTGTGTGCTGCTAACAACAATAGCAAACTGGCCCCAAATAGCGTAGGAGGGCGATAGTCAAAACCGTAGGATCTGTCTAGCAAGTGTCTTGTGCAGAATTAAAATCCGTGTGCTAAATACTCTCTTTCAAAGAGACCACTTCAAATGAGACCAATGAATTTTGTAGGACAGCTTTGGTAGCTTGCAAACAGGAATGTAATTTCAACCTCCTTCTAGTTTGAAATGCTGGAATGGGTTACTATGTACTACTGAAAAAACTCTGAGGGTTTAATATAGGCTTCCTAGTGAGTTAAACAAAAGAGTATTGAGACTAACAAGTGTTCAAATAAGCGTGCCTGTGATTTGAGCTAACTCTTAAGTCTATTTTAATACACGAACAGAAGTTCTACTAAAAAAAAAAATCCATTAAAAAAAAAAAAAACCAGGGCACCACAGTAGAATTGATCTGTCTAACCTCCAAACATCTTGAATTGTGTCTAACATCTTATGTTGATTAGATTCTTGGAAGTAAATTATTTGGAAAGCAGACTAGCTAATAAGTAAATCATTGCTCACTAGAAGATAGGCTAAGGGGGCTATTCCAGGCAGTTTAAGTGCTTCATGGCGTGTTGCTTTTTGGTTGAGACCTAACTACTCGGAACCTGCAGGGAGTGGCCTTCACACCCGGGGACGGCGTGGCAGATGTCTGGCTGCAGTACGTTGTCACTCGGTGTCCCCGTGGAAGGGCGATGTTGTCTTTTCAACCCGCTGATTAGGCTTCTCTGAAATGCAGCCACCGCTTGCACCCAGACTTGAGTATCTTTCTAAATCTCGAAAACCACCCGAATTTGCGTCAGCATGTAACTTTTGTATAGATTCTTGGCAAAACAGCTTCCAGAAACACCGAATTGTGTGTCTTTTGCAAGACAAGCTCGTGTTGCTTGTGGGCAAATCAGCTGCGTTATCAGGCAAGATAACCGTTCCCTTGTCAAACTGTGGCACAATTGTTTAGTTTTCAGTTATTTCAGATCTTTTACTCAAATAGAGAGCATGATGATTTCAACTTTTGTCACATAAAACTTTCTACTAAGCAATCATTCAGTAGGCAACAAAGTACAACTCTCAAAACTGTGAAGGTGCATACTGCAGTGCATAGAGCCACAGACTGGATAAAAGCAATGCTACAAAAGATAAGTTGAATTTTCTTTGCTTTTAACTCTGAAGCACAGAAGTTGTCCTTCATGTAGCTTAGAGTTGCTAACTTCTGTGGTGGTCTGCAGGTTAGATTTCATAGAGCTTTTGCCTCACATCTAATTCATTGTTTCAAATCTCAAGTGACCAAATATTTTCAGGAAAAAAACAAAACTCCTCTTGAAAACTAACTTCTCAGTTGGAGCATCTGTATAAGCGCAGAGGTGTTTGGGTATTCAAACTACTTACACACTTCCAAATACTCAGGATTTTTTTCCTCCACTGCAGCTGTAGCTTTATCCTGGTTTTTGTTTCTCAAGCCTTAGTATTGCCCATCAATAACCTTCAGACTCCATTTTGTCTTTAAAAACAAAACCAAAGTTGTTTTCATGCTCTCAAGCATTTTCTTGCACACTGAGCTAAATGTAAAGTTCATTTACGTAGTGTTTTGCTCAGATAATCCTAGCCACTTAGACTTGTTCTTTGTTTAAAGTTTATTTTGGTAGCTGTGTGAAGGGTAGTGTGAAATACATTGATTGCTGCACATTAAACTCTCAACAGTTCTACCAAATCTAGGTCATATGTCAAGTTTCTACTTGAGCTAAGTTTCAGTGCAAGAAATGTGCATTATGTTGCTGCTTAATAGAAAAACAAAACAAAACTTTGCTATGGGTACACATATGTAACTCACACTGTCTTTTCTTAAAGTGATCTTAAGTCATAACAAGGAAATAATCTTTTGATGATTTCCTTTTTGCCTAATAACTAATATGAAAGTTGACAGAAGGGATACAGATTATTCCGTGTGTGTGACCAGACGTTTTACCCAAATTAACACTCTTGCTGTCTGCAACACCTGTAAAGCATTTTGTAACTAGGCTCCATAACTTACAAACTCTCTGTTGGAGAACCACCCTGTATCTGAAGTCTGTCACAGGTAGTAAATGTTGTATTAGATTGGAATTCAGAATGAAATTAGTCAGTCCTTACTTAACCAGAACGGTGGGTCAGGAAGGTGCCTGCTTCACACCTGCTTTTGCTAAAGACTGAGGAACGGTGGAGCAGGAGCCTGTAGTTGAAGGGAGAACAGGAACCAACAGCTGCCTGCCTTCCACTGCTGTTAGAGGAGCTGGTCGCTCGTCTGGTGCCTGTTAACATGAAGCAGTTAATTCTGAGTGCTCTTACAGCCTTGAATGATCAGTGTTAATTCTTATCCTCGATGATTAAAAAAATACTATGAAGGAACTTTGACTCTTACCCAGATCTAATTCCCAACTAAGTAATTTTAGAACTAAATGGTCTTCCTGGATATTCCATTTGATACACTATCTGGCCATGACTGTACCTGTACCTTGTTACTGGAGGCATTTGTGTTAAATGAAAGGGCCTTACTGGTACAGAGTTGGGTTTAGGTAAAAATGTGATCTTTTTTAAGTTTATTTTTAAAAAAATCATTATCGAAAGCAGAGCTGTGAATTTTAATGATCTGATCTGGTAAAATAAATACTCTACAGGTAGAAGTACAGTTAATAACTTTATTACAATATTCTAAACCAAAACCCATTCATTGTCATCACCTGAGCTCAAGTGAATACAGCTAGTAGATGCTTACATGGCACAGGCCCAGTAAATTGGGCTTCTTCATTTTGAGGAATAAAGCTGTTACAGGGACACGTACATGCAAACACACACCCAAAGCAGGTATACTACCTTTTCATTCAAGTTAAATTTAAGACTGATTCTACAAGCTAAATACAATATTTCATCATAATGAAACTGCTGTCATTTACTGTGATTCAATTAATTTTATTTGTATTACTCTCTCTGTACGTGAGCATACTTTGCTGTAGCATGTTGTGAGCATCCTTAACTTCTGCTGTTTTGAACATTTGTTTGGAAAGTGCCCTTCCAGAGGACCCTGTTCACTGCTGCACTTTTGGGGAAAGAAAAAATAAACTGCCTATCAAACTTTCTACCTTTTGTTACTGAACTTCAGTTAAAACTTTCCACAGGATCAAGGTCTGTCATGCTTCTAAAGCCTGAATTCCTAATTTGTAAGCCTGTTCTCTGCTTACTGCCCTGCTACCTAACAGTGGCCACTACTGAACTTTTATATGGTGCAGGGAACCTTATGCACAGCATCTAGCAAGACAAGATGTGACCACTTTGCACCAGGAAGAAACACTGAGGTGAGAGAACAAACTTAAATGCCATCTGTGCTTGCTCATATTTCCTTGGAAACTGATGTAGTTGAGTATATGGAAAGCTTTTATCAAAAGCGACAACGGAGAAATTGCTGTTTATAATTAAAAGCAGTATGTTCTGCCTCTGGGAAGGAAGAAGAGTAAAATCCTACGTAAAGCTTTTTCCAACTTACCTCAATCCCTGGTAGAGTTGAATTCCTTGGGTGATTCTGTGCAACTGTTTAAAAATACATACATCATGATTTTCTGAACTATAGAGCAAGGTGATTTGGTACCTTTAACCTATTTAAGTCTGAGGCTTTCACAAGCTCCTAAAACAAGTATTTCTGCATTGTATTTTCATTTCTGCTTAACCATGTGGTATCAGTTTCATTTCTCCTTCAGTGATGCAGCAGTCTTCCATTAGAGAAAAATATTTAATGGCTGCTTGAAACAATGCTGCTGTCTTCTGATGCTTCAGCTTATGAAAACTATGAAGTTTACTGTAGCACCCTAAGAAAAAGCAGCTCTGTATTACCTAGATACACCTTCCTGTTGTGCTCAAAGACATCACTGACAGTGTGACACTACCCTCAGGGTTGTAGAAGCTTGCCACGATGTCTCCTTTGTTGTTAATTTCTAAGAATAAGCCATATAGGTGAAGAATGATGCTGTAGAATGATAAAGGAGTCACCTGTTTTACAAAAAGAAATACAGTGTTAACGCTTCATTCAAGGGGTGGGTGGGGGAAACACCAGGCCTAGAAAGAAATGGCAGTGCTAATATATTGCTTTCCAGATGTTGTTCTAGTCAGATCCAGCTGTCACTAAACCTTTTGATAATAGCCCCTGGACTGTCTCTAAAGCTGGCAATCCAGTAATTGCTCAATAATCTTAAAGTACAGCCAGTGCCTGCTTGCTCAAGGAGGTGTTGAAGTTGTTTGAACTTATTCCAGCTGGCAAAAGGCACCAGTTTTCTAAAAACAGGAATAAGAGGGACTTGATGGAACACAACTGAATCACCTACTTCCGTGTTTTTCCTGTGCAAGTTCTAGGGAAAAAGTAGCATGGTTATTCATAACCAGCTCTGTGATTCTTGCTTGGCAAGAATGACTTTGCAGACTTTGATTCCTATAGCAAAATTCTCATATTTTCTATAAGGGGTCCTTCACCTGCCTTGACAATATCATGTTGCTATAAACAAGGGGCTGAGAGCTTGCAACTATAGACCACTTTTGTCAATACTGATTTTTCTACTTTATAAATAGGTTCTCAGTATTACTACAACAGTAAAACTGCTGTCGTTTTAATAAATATGTAAAAAAGAAAGCAATCCTCAAATCGACAGTCTGAGAAAGTTGTGGTTGTTCAGCCTGGAGAAGAGAAACTTCTGGAGAGACCTTCTAGTGGCCTTCCACTACTTAAAGGGGGCTACAGGAAAGGGGGGGAGGGACTCTCTATCAGGGAGTGTAGGGATAGGACAAAGGGTAATGGTTTTAAAATGTAAGAGGGCAGATTTAGATTAGATATAAGGCAGAAATTCTTTCCTGTGAGGGTGGTGAGGCCCTGGCACAGGTTGCCCAGAGCAGCTGTGGCTGCCCCCTCCCTGGGAGGGTTCCAGGCCAGGCTGGACGGGGCTGGGAGCACCCTGGGCTGGGGGAAGGGGTCCCTGCCCAGGGCAGGGGGGCTGGACTAGTTAGTCTTTAAGGTGCCTTCCAACCCAAACCATTCTGTGATGATGTTAAATGTTCTGGAAAAATCAGTAATGTGGATCAGTGTGCTGGCTGGTAAAAATGAAGCAGTCTCTTTAATTTCCTAATGAAGAATAACAAGTTCTCTCATACTTCAAAAATTAACATTTTTGCAACACTGATAGTTAATACTACACAGTCTCAAAGTTACCTTTGCAGTAAATCTCTGCAGGAATGGATACGATCCTAAAGCATCCAGAAAAGGAGAAAATAAATTAGGAAAGCAAGTAAGTAGATATTCCAACTCTGTATAAGCCTGTGTGTGATAATCTGACGTCATCTGGATACTCAGGCAGGTTGTCCACAAAAACTTCTTCTTTTCCTGCATTAGCTCCACTTACCCAATAGCTGCAGAAATGGAATTCTGTGTATGAGTTTTAGTAGCTGCTGCAAAATACAGCAAGCTTAACAGCATGGAAGATCCATCATTTTGATATGCATAAGGAATTTTTTTCAAAACACAGAAAAGGATTCCACAAGAAGTAGTAAATGCAAAGAGGGACTAAACATGAGTAACTAGGATTAGTCAAAAACCTCATCCTTCTACAAGTAACATAAAGAGCACCCCACCCCGGTTCTATTCAAAAAATCTATTCATAGACAATGTGCTGGTTAAATGAAAACTAAAATTAAATTTGGCTTTAAAACTTCCATGACATAGAAAACTGTTAAAACACTGATTCCCTCTAAAATGGGAAAAATGGGGTGTTAATGCTAAGCCTTATAATCATGCAGTGCCACTTGTCCTCTAAGGTCTGTGGTAACTGTAATAATAGAGTCATCAGGATAATTGTAATTGAGTCTGAGGGAATTAGGGCCCCTATATCAATAAATCGGTACAGAAAACATTTGACAGTGGGAACAGCAACTGTTAAACTCTACCTAGAATTAACTAAAACCTGTGACTCTTGCAATAGAAAAAGTAATTTGGACCAAGTTTCTAATAGCAACCCTGTTAACTGCACATCTTCAGTTTACATCTTTAGAAAACAGAACATGAAAATCATGTCTACAGATTGATTAAAAGTATATATTATAAACTAATGTAGTATTTTATATCTAGAAGGAGAATTATGTTCAACATACTATATGATTCCACATATGCTAATTTCTGCTACTAATATGTATTCTTCATAGGGAGACAGAGCAATCCCCTTTGCCATGTACAAGCCCCTGAGCACCGTTCTTCCTGTTCCTGTTACAGGGTCACAGGCCAAGAGGTGACCCAGGTGGTTTGTCTCAGTTACCTTAATCAATATATCTAATGAAAAACGAGGCTATCAGAATACCTGGCTCCAATTAGAATAGAAAATACTCAGAAGCTGTATTAACGTAAATTAGAGAAAAGCAGATTTTGCCATCAGCCATTCTGTATCTTTTTTAAAACGGTAAGCTCACACCACTAAAGGAGCAGAGGATGCTGCTCATGTCGTTTCCCGGGCTGATCACAACATTCTTGCAAAGCCAGAGGAACGTGGGGGTTGCAAAGCCCAGCATTCAAAACGTTATTCTGCAGTTCCTGCTTTAGCAAAGTATGGAGGCCTATCAGGCTTCTGTGAACAATTACAACTTCTACAAATCAAAGCAGAAAGCATTTGCGAGTGTTTTGCTAAAGCAAATAAACAGCCAACATTTTACTTCTGGTATGAAATAAGAAGTTTCTTCTGCTAAAAATCTATAGGGCAGCTTTGAATTATATACTCATAAGCCCTGTGAAGAGGAAACTCTCTTCATGTTTGACATATGTCCTGGCAACCCCTTGGCAAGTCTGGAATACTAAATGGCAAAGATGATGTACTACCTAACAAAAATTCCGATAGTTTTAACAAACAGCAAGTGACACATACGAGATTTCAACTATTCTGGGGTTTTTTGGTTTGTTTTTTTTTTTTACCTTTATTAACTTGGATCTCAATTCTCACCCCTTAAATTAAATGTCTTTTCTTCACATGGTTTTTCTCCTTGCTTAATTTTAGCCAGAATTCTGGTAGTAAAGATGACGCTCGGTGTGAACTTTGTGTCTGTGCCCTTGCTGAATTTCAGCTTTACAGTTTGTTCTAGTTAAAGTTTTACTCAAAGGCTATGACCACACAGAAAAGATACCTTCAAGTACAGAAGCAATTTGCTACTTTGCATTTACTGCAGTGTAAGAGCCTGCTTGTAGGCAGATACCAGAGAGGAACTAACATACAGTAAAAATCCAGACTGCTGTATCACATGACAGTTTCTTTGGGCAGTCATACCCAGAGGTTTGTTTTTTTCAGAAAAGCAGCTACAGAATAGCACAGCCCATCCTCTGCCTGAGGGCTCAGCAGGCTGCATTCACAGCGTGCTTGGCTAAAACTGCACAAGGGCAATTGAAAAGCTTGTCTCTCCTGCAGCCTAGTACGTGTTGCTGCCAGCACAAACTGAACAAATGGCTACAGCAGTTGCCTCATCTCATCTTATATTTGTGATGTTGTCTTTCCCACTTGCTACTTGAATCTGTAAAATAAATCAAATTTTTCTTTGATATTTCTAATCCATTTACGAATGTGAAAGGCAGCCCATCCACACCTGGCTAATAAAAATTAGTATGGATTAAGATAAGTACAAAACCACCACGTGTTCAAAATTATTCAGATCCACACTTGCTTATGATTTCAGACAGTACAATTTCAAATCTCAGAGTTAATGCTATCCTTAATTTGTCCGCAGCTATAGTCCGAGCTCCAAAATACTTTCATTTACATGGAAATATGTTCAGGTTGCAGCTCAACATACCACATACCAATCCAAAAGCCTATGACAAATACAAATGCTTTTGTTTTCTTCTATTTTTTAAAACAAATCTTAAAAACATGAAGCCAACAGGCTTTCAATCAGTCCCAGTCCCCACACTCACTAGTACTGGTCTCAACTGATTAAAGTGCCTTGATCTTCCAATTTATATGTAAGCATGAGGACCAAACTCAAGATCAGTCTTCTTCCCCACTAACTGTAGCATCACCTTTTTCACTCATTAGCAGTGTTGGAAAATGGGTGAAGAAAAAAAAAACTG